CATTCCTAGAGGAGTTCGTTACACGCCTCTCTCTGCCCGACCTCTCTGCCGTTCCCCGTTTCTGCCAGCAAAGGGGAAAACTCGAGTTGGGCCAGAGCCCTCAGTGAAGCGCTCAGGGTCGGGGCCGGCCCGGATCCACCCGGGGCTGAAGGTGAAACCATTAAGGAGCCCTGAGCGCTTTTACTGGGCATCAGCCTTGGAAGAACTCACCTTTTCTTTGCTGGCAAAAAAATGGGGAACGGCAGAGTGACAGGGGTCCAAAGGTGTCTGAAGGAATTCCTGGGATGGAAGGATTTGGGTACAGATCCGGCCCAAAGCACCAAGGGTTTGAGCTGCAGGCAGCTGTGGCTCCCCCAGTGCCATGCTGTTCTGATTTTACTCATTTCTCATCTCTGCCCTTCATTTGCACTCTTTGAGAAGTGCCCAGGGGCTGTGGCTGTGCCCACACAAGTGACGGGGAGCAGAATGCCTCCCCTTGATCAGCTGGGTGCAGAATTCTGGTAAAATGGGCCTTGAGGAGCACTCCTGCCTCTCCTCCTTCCCAGCCGTGAGCCATTACCTGCCGCCAGGTCACTGCTGGCTCCTTTCTGTCCAGGAAAAGCAGCAGAACTCCCACGTGCTTTCATCAGGTTCAGCTCCTGGAACACACAAGGGCAGCTGGGGGTGCCCTGGAGTCCAGCAGAATCCGGGGTGCCAGCGTTTCCCAAAGCCAAGGAAACCCAGCACCGTTCCTGCCTTCTGAGCACTCCTCTGAAGGACTCCGCTGACAGACAAGACTTTTCAGGAAAAAGCTCTTTGATTTTGGCACAGTCGCTCCCAGGAATCTGAAGTCTGAGGAATGAAGGCTCTGGGAACTGAGAGCTCCTGAGGAGAGGACTGGGAAGATAAAACAAGGGGAATTTCTGAACAAAAATGACGTTTGCCTTTAAAAAAAGCTGTTTTTCCTTTAATGAGCAGTTCCAGCTACCCTGCTTCCAGCATCCACTGAGGACAGAGCCTGGGGCTAAATGAAATACCTCCTTCCACAGCCCTGAAACTGCAGATCCTCACCCAGAGAGCCTGAGCAGGAAAGCCTGGGAGCTGTGTCTGCTGGAAAGCCCCAGCTCGGGAGGAAGTCAAGAGTCTGTGCCACACTCACAAGAAAATGTGAAAAATGCAAGAAGGAAAATTTTCCATTTTACAGAGCTGGGAGGGACCTGCCTCCCTTCCCTCCCTGGCAGCCACAGCTTCACCTCACGCTGCAAATGCCGAGCCTGGGCAGCTCCTAAGGAAAAATTCCAGCAGGGAAAGCAAAGTGAGAGCAAGCAGCATCAGAGCAGGGCAGGCCTCGGGCATCACCAGCACTGAGCTGCCCTCCCTGTCCTGCCAATAAAAAAAACCCTTACAAACATCTTACCAAGATTTAATGTACATTTATTCTTAACACGTGGAACATATAGTATAAAGATTTCATACTGAATAAATGATATTCATTAAGCCAAAAAAGGAAAAAAGGGAGGAATTTACATCAAGTTTTTAGCTACATCGTCTGAAATACAAATATGCAGAATTCATCACTGAAAAATCTCAATTGTGTTTCTTCATCAGGAACTTCAACTGAACCTAGAACTTTTTCACACCTCGATTAGAAAGAAAACAAAAACAGGAAAAAAATAAACTATAAGTTGATTGGCTGCTGAGACAGCAATGACTTTATACACAGAGACCTGTACAGCATCCTCCAGGGAGGGATGTCTGGCAAGAGATTAAATAATTGTGTCTCGCTTTTGCAGGTCATCAACTCGTTAACTCGTCATACTATAAAGGGTGGGAGGGGACAAAACTGCAGGAGTCTCAGGGTATGTGCAATGTACAACGTCATATATATATACACACGTGGCAGCGCTGGGCTGCAGCTAAAGGTTAAAACCAGTTCTAAGAGGTGATCTCAGGGTTATTCATACAATCAAGGAGGAAGAGAGAAAGAGGTCAGGGTGTTGTAGGTTCACACATTATACTTTGGGGGAAAAGCCTTTTTTTCTCCTCAACATTAACTAAAAACATTTTTAAAAACTACAGCTTGCTGCTGATCCAGCGTTTTTTTCTTTTTTTTTTTATCCATGTGAGACATTATTACAGTATGTTTACAGTTTAAGGTGTACAGTACATGGAGTTCTACACGCTACTGCACAGGCCTCCCTTGGACAAGGTCTGTTCACAACTGGTAACTTCTTGGTTCCTGCAAGATTGTGAATGTACAACGATAAACCACACAGAGTTCAGCAGTCACTTTTTGTCCTTCAGAGTTTACCATTAAAAACAGTTATGAAAGTGGTGCCTGTCAATGGGATAACACGGCAAGTCGTCTTTCCCCAAACTCACTGTAAACGACAGTAACTTTGGTTAAAATAAAAAAAGTCTTCTATGTAGACAGAACTTTGTCTCCTTTAATAAGGGATTGGGGACAAATCTGAGGGGCAGGGAGGGGGAGAGGGGCCGGGGAGATCCTTCCCCGAGGGAGAAGCAGGACAGCGCAGGGCAGACAGTGGATTCTGAGGTGGTTTTGCATAAATAAAGGGCAACAGTCAGTTTCTAAGTTCTCCACTCACGCACACGCACACGGGGGCTCGGATCCCACAGCTGTCATGACTGGCCAATTAAAAACAGTACATCACAAATAACTTGTGAAACCAAAGAGTTCATCAAAGGCGACACGGAGATGTCCAAGAGCCGCGACTCGTACAAGGTGAACTCCGAGTGGTTCTCGTCCACCTTGGCCAGGGCCAGCAGCGCGCGGGCGGCGCGGCGCATCATGTCCACGCTGGTGGCCTCGAAGGGCGGGCTCTGCATGTGCATCAGCCCCGCCTGGCTCTGCTGGAACTGCGTGGCGGCCAGGCTGTCCTCCAGGAAGCCCAGCAGGTTGCCAATGCTGCCCTTCTGCACGGCGATGGCTCTGGCGGCCAGGCTGTCCCCCTGGGCCAGGTTGGCCAGCAGCACCACGGCCATCTCCCGGCACACCGGGTTCTTTCTGTCACTGAGGAACCGCACCATGGTGCTGTACAGCTTCTCCAGGCGGCTGAAGGGCGGCGTGGCCAGGATCAGATCCACGTTGTTGTCCTGGATGCTGAGCTTGCTGAGTGTTTCCAAAACCAGTCTCTGAGGGGAGAGGACAGCGTTGGGTCCCAGTGTCGGAAAGGGATCCTGGGCCTCTGCCGAGGGACACACTGCCCAGTGGAGGAGTCCATCCAGGATAGGCAAACAGATGCTTTCCGGGTAAGGGGAGAGGTCCAGCTGCCCAGAAATGTTGGCCAACGTGACCAGTGTGTTTTCACGCAGCATCTCCAAACAGTCCCACCACCACTCCACCTTGTTGCAGCTCACCCCTTGGTCCTGCTCCTCCTCCTTCTCGTAGGTCAGGGGCGCCTGTTTGCGTTCTGGATGCTTGTGGTGAAGGAGGATCAGTTTCCCTAGAATCAGCAGCAGCCCAGGGTGTTTGGACATTTCAAAGTCATTGCCTGGCACAAACGATAAACTCCTGATGATGTTGGAGACGCAGATGCAGCGCTTGGCCAGAGAGTCCTGCCAGTCCAGGAGGGTGCAGAGCGGCGTCTCGTCCTTACTGTGGGGTTCATCCTCCAGGATTTTTATATTTCTGTGGCTCTGAGCTGGGCTGATGACAAAGGGAAACTTGCTGCTCTCCTTGGCCGTTTCCGAGGCCTTGCCCTCCTCCTCCTCGCCTGGCAGGGAGCCCGGGCGTGCCGAGAGCATGTCGTCCATGGTGGCAGTTATCCTCTTCTCCGCGGAGCCGTCGGGCGCGGGAGCCTCCCCTTCCCTGGGGCTCGGGTTGCTCTCGGCTGCTGAACGTTTCCTCAGGGCAGAGGAGCAGGAAGCTCGTTTGTGAGGCAAGGGCAGCTCGGTCTTGCTCTCGAAGTGTGTCTGGATGTGCTCGGTGGTGTCCCCGCCGCCGATGCGCCAGTGCAGGAGCCCGCTGTCGAACTCCTGCACCCGGCCCAGCTTGTCCGAGTAATCCACCACAAAGGGGTCGTTCTTCTGCACCACCTTCACTGGAAGCTTGTCAAATTTACTCACTAGCTTCTCCTCGCTGCTCTCTAGAGGTACTTTGTCCTTGCTCGAAAACGCGGCCTCCTCCTCTTCCTCATCCTCCTCTTCCTCCTCACAGTTCAGGCTCTGTGGCTCGTCGTCCTCCTCCCCTTCTTCAGGGGAGGAAGCTGAAGATTTGCAGAACCTTTCTGGATCTAATAGTGTTCTTTGCCCTGGGTCTCCTACCTCGTATTCCTTCAGGATTCCAAAGATCTCGATCAGGCAGCGCCGGAAATATTCCACCAGGAGTTCCAGCAAGCCTGGCAGCTACACGGGGGGAGGAAGGAACAGCCATCAGAAAACAACTCCCAGGGAAGGCCTTTGCACACACACAGATCACTCAGGCCAGGAGTGACCGCTCACAGCTGCCCACACCCCACGCTCCAGGTACAGAGGCTGCAGGAGCTGCTCGTTGACACCTGGCTGACAGAAACCCCTGCAGCATCAGCACTTCAAAGAGCTGTCCTGGAGAGCATCTGCACCCACCTGGCTGAGGTTGAAGGTCATTATGCTGTTGTCATCGTAGAGCAGGATGTTTATGGTATCTAAGGCCCACGTACTTTCAGCCAGCAGCCCCGACTTCAGAGACATCATCACTCTCCAGGCTTCAGGAGTTCCTGTAACATAAACACATGACACTTCCAGCTCCTGGAGTTTCAAAACAAAAAGGAGACACTTGATGCTGATTTGAACCTGTGTAGAGCAGAGCCTGGTTAAGATGATGGTAGACATCTACCACCAACCTGCCCACAGGCAATGCCAGAATGAGGGCTCAGGACACAGTTAACCTGTAAAAATGCCTTTTTTTTTCAAAGCCAGCAGAGCCCCTCTGTACCGAAGGGCCAAGGCAGCACCAATCCCTCAGAAGGCTCCAGCAGGAGGGCAGGAGGTTCCTCTTACCGATATCTTTCGCCGTCAGCCGCCTCCTCTGCTTCAGCACGGGTTGCGTGGCCTCCACGGAGCCGGGCGGGAAGGTGATGTCCCGTCGGATCATGGGCGGCTGCACGGCTGCTGGTGTGATGTGCGAGGCAGGCACAGGCGGCCCCGCCTTCTGCATCTTCATCCCCGAGTGCAGGAACGGGGATTTACTGGGAGAAGTGCGGTTCTCCAGAGGCCTGGGCAGAGGTGCTGGGCTGGATACCTGAGGAATGTGATTCTGCA